GGTGGTGGTGGTGGTGGTGGCGGGGGCGGTTAGTGGCCCTCGTGGTACCGGCAGGGCCAATGTATGTCGTTGCCGTGTTCTCCCTGCACTGCCTTCACCCGGGCGGTTTCACTGTGACCCTGAGGGCTGTATTTATCCCGCAGTCCTTGTTCGAGATTGCTGGCGATCCTCGGATGTGGCTGGCTTTAGATTGCCAGCCTGCTGTGAGGCCCGTAGTGATCCCTAAAATTGTGCAACCCACAACCAAAAAGTCTACCTACTTGTTGTTCACCGGCATAATCAGCTAAAAACGGACATTGCCAGTTTCTGGTCATGCGACACCTGGACATGCAATCCGCCAATCGACCAATGACAGCAATCAATACACGGTCTCAAACTCTGACACATTTTCCATGCATGAAACAGCTTTTCGCAGCGGGCAGCTTGTGCGCGGCGGTAGCACGGCATCCCCACTGGAACATGCATGTCTGGAGCAAACGATTTGCACAAACGCTGCCCGATGCACACATATATTCTATCAAGCCTCGCACCTGTAGCAGCTGAGGAGTGGTCATTCGAAGAGTTTGCCTGCCACTGCAAGTTGAAATGCTGACAATATGGGCATACATACTCTCAGTCCTAGTCCCAACAGGCTCTGGACACACTGCACCGCAGATTTTCTGAATCTCCCTGAATTACTCCGCCACGCTGGCCATGTAAAATGGACCTCGGAGCCTCTCCAAAAGGTCTCCCACAAATCCTTCCTTTCGACTCTCGCAACTCGCACAAGGCAGGAAAGGATCCTTCCTGTTAAGGTTTCCGGCGGTGCCGCTCTAACCCGCCTCCTGTTGTGGGCATGTGGCTCGTGTTAGCTGTTCGGTGTTTTGCGCTCTTTCCTCCTTGCAGGCTTTAAACGTGCGCACACACAAGCACACCCACGTCCCTTCAGGGTTCTCCATTTTCCACCACACAGTCCCTTGTGGGGTTTGACTTTCGCATCCACAGTGCAAAGCTTACCGCTTGGCGGTTCTGACCACAGTAGAGCAGAGGTATCTAGCTGTGGATATCAGCCACGAAGGCCTCGGACCAAAAGTCCAAGACAGCCTTTCCTTGTCGGCTCAACATCGCCGAACGAAATCTCGCGCTCGCCGCTGCTTTGTTTCTGCCTTTCCTAGTCGCTCTTACAGCAAGCATCGCCTGCTCGATTTCTTGCCAATACCGAGCAGCATCATGCGCAAACACCCACGGCGGCAGCAGCAGCAGCAGTAGCATCAGCAGTAGAAGTAGCATCAGCGGTAGCGCACGTAGCAGCAGAACAAGTCACAGCAGTAGCAGCAGGAGCCCAGTGGTAGTGGCAGTGGTTAGCCCGAGAAATCGCAAGAGCGCGAAATCATGATAGCAACAGCTGAAAGGATGGCAGATACCATCGTAGCGCCGTCAATAGCAATGAGAACCAACCCCTTACAGTCGGCCCTGAATGGTGCAAACTTCTCTCTTCTTGAACATAGCTCCAACCCCGGAGCCAAGCTCATGCCACATTTCAGGCCCTCAAGAGAAGCGCTCACCCCTCCCAGTTCGCTGCCAGCTGAGCCCTGATCCAACCATCTCACTAAAAAACAGCTCCCAAACATACGCTCAGAATGCAGGGCTGGAAAAGCAACCGCTGTAACACTGTAACGACTGTAACCCCATAGACCCTGCCTGGGAAATGGCTTTGAGCGAAGAGGCGGATTCCGAGTCTGACATAAGCACGGCTGCGCTTGCATTGGAGGTGCCAGAAATTCGGTTGCCGCTGCTGTCAGACATCTGTACCGTTTCGGTTGCTTCGCCAGTGCCATCGCCCGGATCCTCCTCAGACTCTTCACCCTTCATGTCCTCTGCGGAGGCTGCGGCTGAAGAGTCCGTGTCAGTGTCGGCAGCAGTTTCCTGCGTGTCTGAGCCCGTATCATCAAGCGTGTCTTCGCCAGTAGAGTCGTCCTTCTCCGTGGATGGCGTCTTGTCTTCCGATCCTTCCTGTGTCGACTCCTGGGAAGACTCTTCGTTCCCTTCCCCCTCGTCCTCATCCGCATCGTCTGTGGACTCCTCTTTGTTCGGAGGCTTTGTCTCGGAGCCCGCAGAGGGCTCTGAACGCATTAAGGATGCAGGCTCTGCAACCTTCTTGTTCCTCTTGCTGTGCTTCGCGTGCTTCTGAGTCTTGACATGGCTGGCTTTCCCATGGGAAACGGTGTCTGCCTGCTTTGCCCGGACATGCCGCGGCTTTTCCATGTCCATGGCTGCCTCAGCAAGGGCCGATGCGGTGAGCTTCGCTTCCACTCAGGCAACGTTGTATGATGAGGACTAAGGCTCCTTTCTACAAGTATGTTACTAGTGCAACACTTCTCCCTTCTCCCAACAAACGGGTTATGGAGTGTCAGGCTTCGGGTCGTGTGGGCGACAGGACCCCATTTTTCCGGTTTCGCAGAGTTTAAGAACTGTGTTCCAAGGACTCGTGCCGGTCTCTGGTCTCTATGCCCTGTGCAGACATCTGACTTTCTGTGCTGAAACTGCCGGATGCAGGTCTCGCAAGCGAAACATCCAGAGACTGAGAGCTGTTTCAGGCCGCTGCCTGGGCGTCCACAACGACCTCCTGGTGCTGGCTGTGTTGCATCTCCTGCCGCAGATTTGAGATGTGGGCTGTCCCGATCTTTAAGCTACATGCTGAGGTAGGCCTGACTGGTACCTAGGTTTGGTGGCGTGGGGGCTTTGAGCACTTCTGCGACTTCCTCAAAATCTCAAGCAGAAGCCGCACAATGTTGCCATGGCCACTGTCCCAAACATCCAAGCCGCGGTCCAAGCCCTTTGCGAAATCCCATTCCCGCAGCTTTTGACAAGATCTTGTGCCATACCCCCCGTCACAGAACTCAACCCCACCTTTCAGGGAGCATGGCAGAACCCTTATAAAACCTAAAAAGTAATCTACCCTCACCCTTACTTGCATCCAATCGGGCTCGCCCCTGCGGGCTCCGTGCGGATCACCGACGCATCGACCCAGAACGTCTGCAGCAAAGCTAACCTGAGCTCAGCGGCTTAAGCGTCTTCATATCGCTCGTACGTCTGGGTACGAATTGTGTGTGTGTGTATATATATATACATGTATATACATACACGTATGTATACGTATATGTGTGTGTACATATACACATATATGCATTCATGTTGTTCAACGTGTGTGTGTGTGTTCAACGCCCGGCTTCGTCGTAGCTCCTAGGGTCAAGGCTGTTTCGGAGAGTTTGGACAAAAACGAGTCTGGAAGCAAACTCTGTTTTGGAGCAGCTTCCACAGCCCGCAAGTCCTACAACCCTCCACTCTTGCAGCCGGAAGGGGCAGAAGAAACCAGGATCTCGGGAGAACACACCTTTAAGTTAGGGGGTATGTACTAATTCCGGGCATGGATTCGCCTCAAAGCCGAGAGACCACATGGATGGCCTGAGAAACGCCATTCTCCCGGCGCTCCAGGTATCACCTCGGCGATCTTGCGATACGTGCTTCAGGCAAAAGCTATTGCAAAACTTGAAGCGCAACAGCATCGTCTTTGGACTTTGGGGTCTAATTCATTGAATTATCAGGTTTCGGCTGCCTTCACCCACCAGAGCCCTGTCCATGCCCGAGTCGCTTGGATTGGATGTACGACAATCAACTTCGAAGCTATGACCTGAACCCTTAGAAACCGGGCCTGAGCCAGAACAGCAGAGGAGCACACAGAAGGCACGCTTAAGACTCAAGCGACTGTTCCTGGATTGCAAAGGAACATGAGAAGAGTTGGAGATTCTAGTTTGGGGCGTTTTCGGGGCTCCTTCTTTGACTGGCTGCCTGCCTGCCGACTTGCAGAAAATGGCTCTTCTGCTATTCCATCTGGACCTTCTAAAATGCAAGCAGAGCTGCTTTATATCACCTTCTCTGCAAACAACCGGCCAAGCCCGAAAGTAGCACCTATAGGATCAAGCTTTCCCTTTGTCCGCCCGGCCGCGAGAGTTTTAGGCGCTGCCTCGCTTGCGATCATTGCGGAAGCATCAGGCAGCAATGCAACTACAGCGTGCCCAGTCAGTACTCAACGTCCTCGGCGTCGGGAAGGTTACCTGGAAGGAGCCGTTCCAGAATTCGCAGCTCGGGCACCCTTCTCTCCCCTTGCTGCACACTCGCCAATGCGCGGGCTTCGGCCTGATCAACCAAAGCTGCGAAATCCTTTTCGTAGCCCGCGACCGGCCGCAGTCCACACAGCTTCCAGATCTGGTGATCTCGTTCAGAAGGCTGGTACTTTTCATGAGGCGGCTCTTTTTCTTCCTCTGAGCCAGAAGCAACTTCCACGGGTAACTGCTCGGACCGAGCTAGGACGCGCCTGCACGTCCTGTGCATTCGGCGTAGTGTTGAGACAAGCTCCATCTCTTTCTCCACCTTTCGGCGTTCACTCTCGGAGCCCAATCCAGGCGGAACGGCGGGCTTGGTCTTCCTTGGCGTTGGTAGTCTTGGTGGCTTTGCCGGCTTTGCTTCTGTCTCTTCCGTTCCAGTGCTAGGCTCGGCTGGAGCTGTGGATGCAGCCGTAGGTCTCTTTGACGGCGGCGTTTCAGTTTCAGCGTCCCTCTTGCGCTTGAGGCTCAAGGCGATGCTGCCCCGTGCAGCTGTTTGAGGCTTCCTTGCAGGAACTTCCTCCGGCTGCTCCTCGGGCTGCTCCTGCGGCTGCTCCGGCCCCTCTTCCGGAAGTTCTGCAGGCCAGGCGCCTGCATCACCCACTTTGCAGGATGCGCAACGCAAGTCCTGGAATCGCCCTTGATTGTGAAGCCTGAGCGCTGCCTTGCTGGAGCTCTCTGCTGCCGGCTCGTCTGGTGGGATCGCCTCGGCCCGCCGGGCCTGGCTGGCCACTTGTTGGCACTTGTGCCCGTGCGCTTCTGTGTGCATGCACCTGAGCTGAAAGCGCACATCGTTGGCATGACACCGCTTGCAGCAGTAACCACCGTAGGAAGCATCGGTCACGGCGAACTCGCAGCTTCTGTTAGCACACCTCAGTCCCACCTGGCTCCGCGACGAGGACGAGTGGCTGATGGCGGAGCTGGTTGGCGTTCTCATGGTACTGCAGCGAGCTCGGTGGTAGAAGGCCACATGGCCGAGTAGCCCCCTCGAGCTTCCAAGGGGCGAAGGCTGGGTCGTGTCCGTGGAACCTTGCTGAAGCTAAAGACTTAAGATTGGGGTCCTCTCGTAACAGGATATTCTCCCTCCATATGGCGGGCTTCGCCTCCGAGCTTTGATCAAACAGCGCTTGAGACGAATTGCACATAGACGTACATGCACCACACGCACACGCGCGCACACACGCACACGCGCGCGCACACGCACACGCACGCACACACGCGC